CTTTTCCTCCTTGAAAAGTGCCCTTCGTCCCCCCACACCCCTCCACTCCCTCCTACCCCCAGCAGCTGCAGGAGTCGGGCAGCTCTGCCCCCAGCTTACCTGCCCCCGCCCTCCGCCCTCCAACCTGATGTTGGCATCGTGAGAGCTGGCCCTTAGCCTCCAGCAGCCAGATTCTCTTCAGTGTTAAAATGCTTACAATATAAAGCACATACAATTTTGACAAAAATAACATTTTGGGTTTGAGTGTCTTTTAAATTTCTATACTAATTTCAGCTCTTCTTGGGGTTAAAAGACTCTTACCAACTAGGAAAGCGTCACGCCACTGACACAGTTAGAAGTGAGGGTGGTTGAGTGGGTCGCTCCCCGACACCAGCTGCAGGATGCCGCGAGGGCAAGGCCACCCTCACATCTGACGGTTCTCTGGGGCTCTGAGGACCCACCTCGAGCTTTACGTTCACAACTACAGCTGATTACAGGGGAAAGATGCAATGCAGAACCAGCCCGGGTCAGAGGTGCACGGGGCAGAGTCCAAGAGGGTCCAGACGCAGAGTCTCCAGGTGTCCTCCCACCACGGGGAGGATCCCGGACAGCCTTACCTCCCCTGGCCAGACTGTGTGCCAACACGCACGGCACCTGCATCTTCCCTGGGCTCTGTCCCCGGGTAGACAAGGATGTTCTTATCATGAAGCACATTCCAGGCCGTAGTGATGACCTCCCAGGCACGAGGGCAGAGGCCAGACCCCTCGTTGGGCAAGGCAAAATTCTTTGCACATACCACCCTAAACAATTTTCAGTGTGGCCTCTGTCCCCTGGCTGTCCACTGAGATCCTCCCTTTCTGGGCTTGGCCTCACAACTGCATCCTTCCCCTCCCCATCTCTTGCTCCTTCCTGCTGGCAGCAGCCCCTCCGCAGGGCAGCCCCGGCTTCAAGCAACCAACACAGTGCCCTGGGGTGGCAGAAGAACATGGATGGTCCTGAATGAACAGGTGGAGCCTCGCCACCTGCTTGCCTGAGAGATGACCCGCTGCATGTGCTTGGGTGTCTGTCGATGCAGCCTCGCTTCACGCCCACTCGTGTGTGTCCCAAGCCCAGCGCTTGCTCAGCTGCTGTGTTTCTTACCTTCAGAGGGCAGCGGCCAGCACATGACAATGACCGTGCTGGGTCTGGGACAGCTACACTTGGCTGAGTCTCGAGGGCAACAGAGGTGACATCCCAAGCACCCACACAGCCCAGCACCTGCAGCCCTGTGAGGAGGCGACTGAGCCTGCACCCCTGACTCAAGGGCCTTCCTGCAAACTGAGTCTGCAGGGTAAGCCCCCAGGGGTTTCCTGTGTGCCCCTGTCCCAGGCCCAATTCTGCTCCCCAACCTGAGGCAAGCACAGCCGCTCTCTGTGCCTCAGTTTCCCCACCCTGCAGTGAAGAGGTAAGCAGTCTGTAATACCTGGGTGGGCGGCGGGAGTAGTGAGGGGTGGAGAGGGGCCCGTACGTAGCAGGAACGTCCTGTCCTGGGGACTCTGATGCCCGCCACCCCTGCTCACCCTCCAGCTTCTTGGGAACACAAAGACACAGAGCTGTATCTCACATTACCTGAGTGTTCGGATATCCTGTCTCACAATTACGGGGAGTAACCTTTTATTAAAAAGAAAACACATCTACGGCTTGCGGCTTTCCGTGTGTGCACTAGTACTCCTGAGAAAATGACTGCCTCTCAGGCAGCGCGGTGGGGCCCCAGCCTCCTGCTCCTGCCAATTTCCTCTCCCCATTCTTGTCAGCAATTTCATTATTTAAAAGAAATACAAGAGAAGAATAGGGTGGAGGCGGCCCTTTCATCATGGAGTGCCTGCTTTGCGCAGAGGGTGACGACATTTCCTGGCGGCAGGTGGCTCTCTTCCCTCAGTCTCCTCCCCTTTCCTGCCCTCCCCAGGCCTCCTCACCGGGCAGGTGCAGCGCTCCCCGGGCAGGGCTGGGCAGGCATGTCCATGGCTGCCCTGACACCTCGGCCCAGGACCCCAGCAGCAGAGCAGCCCCAGAGGGGCTGAGGGCACTTGTGGGTGTGATTAAAGACCATTATCAGCTGACTCCAAGGAAGGTCATCCCAGCTAAGCTGCAGGGCCTGGTCCAGGCAGGCGAGAGGCCACAGGAGCAGAGCAGAGGCTTCCCTGATGGAGAAGAAACTCCACCTGTGGACGCCAGCACCAGCTGTGCCGAGTGGCACCTGCCCTGTGGATTGTGGACTGGCCTAGAGCGCCCCACCATGGAGCAAGCCCACCCCTTGCAATGAGTCTCTCCCTGTCCCCGACTGGTCCTGCTTCTCCTTGAACACTGACTGGTACAGGGGACTGTGCCCCTCCAGGCCATCTCTCCCACCCCAGCATCCTCCTCAAAGGCAGGGCAGGCCAACCTTCTGCAGGGCACCAAAACACCCTCGTTTCTAAGTTCTTGAGCCCAGGCATGGGTAGTACTAGGATGGTTCCCGTGTTTGGCAGATGAGGAGACTAGCCAGGTCCCCTCAGCTGGGCTCCTGTGTGGACCAGGTCCCCAGGGCTCCAGGGCCTGAGAAGTCTGTGCGGGCCAAGCCCTGCCCTGGAAATAGAGTCCCCTGTATACCTAGCTGCACGTTCCCGGCAGGAGCCACAGGGGGACAGTCCTCAGTTGGGTGCCACCCCCGCCAATGGCTGCTGCAGATCTGGGTGCAGGGCTGAGCCAGGCCTGGTGGGCTGCAGGGTTGGGGGAGCCCCAAATTCATTTCCAGCCTAAGGATCTTGGACCCAGACTGAGGCTGCCCTGTGGGGTGACAGGCAGTGCTCCCCCATACCCCAAGGACACCTCGCTGCATCCATGGGTGCTCCGGGGTCACCCTGTAGGCTAGGGGGCCTCTCTGCAGCTCTGTCCCAGCCCAGCCCAAACCAGCAGAGAAATAGCAACATGAACACTCCAAGAAGTTTCGATGTTTTATTAACAAAATCTTACAAAAAGAGTCTGTCTTCAGGATAAGATGGAAGGGGTGCACACAGCCTGGCTAGACAATCAAGGCCTGATCTTGTGGGGGGATTGGCCACACCCTCTTGAGGTCCCCAAGGTCTCCCCAGGCCCCCAGGGCTTCCCTGCAGCCTCTGCCTGTGAGTATGGGTTATGGTTTATGTCAAAAATAAAATCTGGGGGTCTGGCAGGGGCGCAGGGTGGAGGACCTGTCAGAGTCGTCTGCAGAGTTGCTTCCTCAGAATCTGGAAACCCCAGTGGACAAGGCAGAAAGAGGAACCCCCAAGCAGGGCCTGCTGGGCCTGCACCAGGGTGTTGGTGCTGGGGCAGGGGTGGGGGTCCAGCCTGGGCAGAGTGCCTGGAATCACCCAGGAGCAAAGGCTTCTGGGACCTCTTAGGCGGGGCTTGGGCTATGGGCAGGAGCTGGGGCAGTGGCCCCAGGCTCAAGGCTCTTGGAGGGCTCTGGCAGAGACAATGGCCACGCAGTGGGCAGGGATTCCCATGCTGGAGGGAGGTATGGCTCAGAGTAGCCACCTTCCGACTCCTGCTGCAGTGGCTCTGGGGGCGGGCAGCTGGCAACGAGCGGGGCGGGCATAAAGGCAGGCCCTGGCCCTCGTGCTGGCCCGTCTTCCCCACCAGCTCTCGGGGCTGAGCTGGGGATGCTGCCTCAGCCACAGCCGCCTCCTGTCTGCAGTCCCCCTCTCTCGGCTGTCCTGGGACTTCTTCTGTGCAGACAGCTTGCAAGATGAGAGGGCTGTGGCGGTGCCAGACACAGCAGCAAAGACTTTGTGGGAGTCTTGAAACCTGAAAGAGCCAGGAAGAAATGGGACAGTCAGGGACAATGTGGGGACAGCAGCCAGGGCACCACAGGGAGGGGCTAGGGCTGGACAGACAGGGCTGCTCTCTGCTTGCCCAGAGCACTGGAGAGTGGCTTGGGGCTGGGGCCTGGGGAAGAGCTGTTCCTGGTCAGAACAGCTGAGGAGTGGGTCTGGCGGGAGGGATGGCACTCCATTACCTGCTGTCACTCTCCTGGCTCCGAGGGTGCTGAGGGTGCCGGCTGCTGCCTCAGCCGGATTTGAGGACTCAGCCCCTCTGGGACCCTCTGCCTGCCACGGTGAGTCATCGAGCCGAGCTCTGCTCCTTCTCCAGGCTGGCATGAATCACTGGTGCTGGGGCGAGAGAAAGTGCGGGTCCCTGTGAGAGCCGGCTCAGCAAACTCCCCCAGCCCTGCCTCCCACTGCCCCCCTCCTTGACCCCTGTCTCTCTGCTCCTCCCACCTCCATAGCACCACCCCCACCCCTTCCCTGCTAACTTGCTGGGGGTGCCTTTGAGCCTCAGTGAGCCCACCTGGAAAATGGCCTCTGGACCCTGTGCCCTCCCAGCTCTAAGAGGCCCGTGGGTGGTGCCCTGGGGCAGGGGCTTACCTGAGGGCCAGGAGGCACCAGGATGTCCGGGCTGCTCTTGCTGCGTATGCGGCTTTGGCTCTCCCAGGAGGGAGCCAGGCTGCCCGGGGCTGGCCAGCTGCCCTGGCAGGCAGGGAGGGCGCTGGCTGGCTCTGGTGATGCCAGGAGAGGGTGGCAGTGCCGGAAGCCAAGGTTCTTTGGGCACTGGTTCTGCCTTAGCTTCCGCTCTGGGGCGTCCCATGAGCACAGTGCCCACTAGCCACAGCCATCCAGACACTTGGTTTTCTGAGTGTCTTGAGGGCCCAGGCATTGAAGCAGAATGAGGAAGCTGGGGACTTTCTGTGGTGGCCTGAGTGTGGAGGGTGGGCCAGGACTGAGAAGACAGACGGAGGGGAGAGGGATGGGCAGAGCCCGGCAGGGGAGAGGGGCTCCTTTGCTGTTTGGGGTACTGCCCGCATCTGGATGGCGTGTGTGCGAGAGAGAGTAGGGCCGGGAGGCTGAGCAGGGCGCCCAGCAGGATGAGGGCTTCCCCTGCAGGAATCAGCCCCAGCTCAAAAGTCCCGGCTGGCAAAGGCCACAGGCTGGTGTGGCGGGCAGGCTGGGGGCTCCGGCTGCCCTCTATTCGGGCTGGGTCCGGTCACTGGCTACAGACTCATTGGTGAGGGCAGGCGTGACGGCCTCGGACTCGTCCTCAGTGGGGGCATGAGGGCCAGCCGGCTCAGCCGCCTGCTCCAAGCCACCCTGCACCTCCATGCCCCGCTGAATGAGCTGCTCCAGGGTCTTGGGCAGTGGGTGGCGCAGAAAGCGCTTGAGCTTGGGCTGCAGGGTGCCCACCACATACTGGATGATCTCCTCCTCGTCAGCATCCACGTACAGAGTCTGGTACAGGTCCCGCTTGCGCCACAGGAACTGGTCCAGTGGCTCACCCTGCTTCTGCGGAAGGTCCAGCTCACGCTGGATGGCCTCCCGCGACAGCGTGCCCTCGCTGTACTGCAGGAACTCCTTCTTGAACTCCACCCAGTTCTTCACGGAGCCCTGCTTGAACTCCCACCACTTCTTGGCTGGCCCGTTCATGTGGTTCTGGATCTGCGACAGCCAGTACTCCTCAGAGCCGCCTACCTGTCGCAGGTACTCTTCCAGGTGGCTCAGGAACTCCCGAGGGTCCTCGAAGATCTGCGTGTCCACGCCGGGGCTCGGCTGCCCGTCCTCACCCGGGCCCCAGGGCTGGTACTGCTGGGCCTCAGCCGGCTCCTGCCCCGGCAGCTCGCCGGCAGCCGGTGGCGGGGTGATGGCGTAGGGGCTGACGCTGTAGTCGTAGCCATCAGCCTCCTGGCAGTAGCTCTCGGGACCCCCCACACCCACGGAGACGGTGTGGCGGGCTGGCTCGCTGCCCACCGGGTACTTGCCGCCCATGGATTCCAGGCGGTCGGCCCAGCGCTCCAGGCGGTAGAACACCTCCCGCCACACGTGCATCTCGCGCTTCACCCAGCGCTCCAGGTTGGCGATGGTCTCCTGGCAGCGGCTCAGGCAGGCCTTGATGGACTTCTTCCAGCGCTGCGAGTCGCTGGTGGGCACGTAGCCGTCCAGGTTGTTCTCCAGCTTGCCCACCGACCTGTGCAGCCCCTTCAGCTCGCGCTCCACTTGCTTGGACACCTCGGTCAGCAGGTGCCGGTGGGTCCTCCGCACGTGCTCCAGCATCTCGGCCCGGCACTTACCGATCTGCAGGATCACGTTGGGCTTGGCCACCTGCCCGCCCCGCAGCCCCGGGTAGGCATGGAGCCCGCCACTCGTCCTCTGGTCCAGCTCCATCTGCTGCAGGTGGCAGGGCGCTCCGGACAGGCGGCAAAGTCCTCTTGGGACAGACGGAGGGAAGTCGCAGCAGCTGCTGGCGGTGCCTGGGCGGCCTGGGTCCGCGTCTGTCCCAATCGCGTCCGGGATCGGTGCGGAGCCGAGGGCGCGTCTGTCGCGGCAGGGCCCGCTCTGCTGCTGGGGAGGACGCGGCACCCGAGCTCTGCGCTGAGCCGCAGCCGCGGGCTCTTTATGCCGCCAGCGCGGGCCCGTGGGCGGCCCGCTCGCGGCACCGCGGCTCCCATTGGCCCAGCGCAGGCACCCGCCAGCGCCCCGCCCGCGCCCCCTGCAGGCCCCGCCTCCCGCGCCCACTCGCGGGCTCCCTCCCCCTGCACACCGGCGGGCGGGCGGGGTGACTAATCCCTGCGCTCGCGCCGCCCACCCCGGCACTCATTCAGTCTGCGGGGACTGGAGAGACGGTGCTGCAGACCAGTGAGCCCCGGACCCCGTCCCCTGGCCAGCTCTGCGCAACGAGGAGGAAGCTCAGGCAGGTTATCTGCGGCCTTCCCCCAGGGTCTCACTCGCCCCTCTTTCCTAAGGGGGGGATGGCGCTGGACACTGCTCTCTTGGGTTCTCACTGCCCCTGCCCCTGCCCCTGCCCCGTCCAGCTTTGCAGGATATTCGGCCGCAGAGAAAAGCCAGGGCTAGGACCCTCCTCCATCAGACCCCTTGCCCTGGTTGAGGGGTCCAGCGAGTCCACGCACACACACAGAGGGAACCCCAGGTGTGAGTTCCCAGATGTGCCTTTGAGCTCCTGCCCGCCCTTGAGTCCAGGTCCTGGGCTGGTCCTCCTGTGCTTTGTGTGAGGCTCTGCCCCAATCCCTGGCATTGGTGTGGATGTGTGACACCTGCCCCTGTGGCAATGGCTGGACAGGACTGCCTGTGGCCCTACACCAGGTCTTTAGACTTCTCTGTGTCTCCAGGGAAACCTGGCAGCTGCTTCCTGGGGAGTATGGGGCTGGAGGAGATGGAGGGGTCACCTGCCCCCCCAGTGACCATGCCCATGGAAGGACACTGGGCCTGAACCCCCAGGCTATAGCAGGAACCTGGCCAGAATCTCCAGGACTTCTAAGAAGATGGAGAGAGGAGAAGGGAGGGAGCAAGGAAGGGAGGGAGGAGGAAAGAGGGAAGAGGGAGGGGGGAGAGAGGAGGGAAGAGGGAAGAGGGAGGGAAGAGGGAGGAGGGAAAAGGGAGGAGGGAAGAGGGAGGGGATGCCAACAGCCACAGTCAGGAGAGGCAGAGGGAAGCACAGCGCCATATAAGGAATGGGGCTCCGGAAGCTGAGATCCCCTGGAAGGGAGGCCCCTTCAGCCTCTCTAGCAACCTGGTGGGGGAGGGACACCCTTCCCGGGTTACTCCATTGTGGCTGGGTGGGTGGGGGTCTCCGTCCTCTGATGTTATCTGGGCACAGGTAACACACACCGCTGCCCACAGTCAGAGGCACAGGGACACAATGACGGTCAAGACACCTTACCCCCTCCTGCCAATCTCCCTCTCCTTCTCTCAGACACACTCGCACACACACACAGCACACTCACAGTGCACACTCATACCCTCCAACGCTCACACCCCCATACACATTCATGCCCCCACGTACACACTCATGCCCCCCACGTACACATTCATGCCCCCCACGCACACACTCATGCCCCCCACGCACAGCCCCCTCTGTCTTGTTCAGGCACTCAAGGGCGCACAGGCACCCACACTCCCTGGAATCCCGCTCCCTGCCCACCTCTCAGAGCCCCTCCTCCTCTGCTCTCCTGGGGAGCCCTCCCCACCAGAGCCAGTCTGTCCCCTCCTTCCTCCAGTCCTGTCCCCAGGAATGTCTTTCTGGCAAAAACTCCCCCAAAATGGCTCTCCTGGCATTTCTAATTAAAGGCAAGTGGGCGGACAGAGGAGGGAGGGCGGAGGGGCGCTGCAGAGCAAGGAGGGGGAGGCAGGCAGAGAAGCCTCCGCACACAGGGACCACCCCAGCCTTCCCACTGCGGAATCCCGGGGCTCCTGGTGCTGTGTGCGATGGATGCCCTGTCCCTGTTGGTGAGTGTAGCCAGGCATCTAGTGCACCTCTCAGGTCACCGTGGGCCTTGTGTGTCGGGGCGAGCATGCCTGTGGTGGCAGGGGTCAGTCTGATGAGCTAGCTGGGCACTGCCCATGCGTGTGTGTCCGTGAGCATGAGAGCCAGCATTTCAGTGACCAGGGGCAGCTCTGCCTGTGGTTTACAAGCCCATGTGGCTTCTGAGGGCTCCTGACTAGCTGGTGGCACTGCCAGAGCTTGGCTTTCAGGCCTCTGGCCAGCAGTGGTCTCCAGCTCCCGGCCCCCCACCCAAGGCAGCAGCAAACTGACAAGGCTTCCAGGTGGGGGGCAGAGAGAAGGAGGTGGGACAGGGGTGGGAGGATGGGGGGGAAGGGGCGCCTGAGCTAAGGTTGGAGATTATAACCTGGGGGTGACAGCATGAGCCCGCATTGCCACACGGGTCTGGAAGGCCAGCGTCAGCCCCTGCATGTGGAGCGCCAGGCCTGGAGAGGGCCAGGTTCCCAGGGTGGCCCAGCGAGCAGGGCAGGGTTGGGCAGACCAGAGCCAGACCCTTGATGGGGAATCCTGATGCCTCCTCAATGCCATGGCCCCCCCCACCCCCTCTCCCATCACCCGCTAAAGAGCAAGGCAGAGGTGGCCCCGTCAAGAGCACGTGGCCTGAGAGAACACAGGCCTGCTCTGGACAGTGTGGGGTAGATGCTGGGGGTGGGTCACACGAACCCTTGCCCTCCCTGCCTGGCAGGGTTTGTACAGAGGCTGTGAACGCAGCCAGAGGAGCTGACAGGTGACAGGCAGCAGCCGCTGCCACCGGGAACATTTAATCGCTGCCCAATTATCGCCCCAGAAGCCCTCACCAAACCCCCGCATTGCAGCCTTGGGCTCCTTCTTCCGCCTCCGGAAAAGAGGCCAGGCTGGCTCCCAGCCGCTGTGGGGGCCTCTTATTACAGGGCCCGCCCTTCCTTCCCTCCTGCTCCAGCACCCCCACTGCCAGTTCCCTGACAAGCAGGGTGGCCCAGGGGTGCAGCTTTGGAAGGGGCAGGTGGACAGGGCCCTGGGGGACCCACTCTCGAAGAACCAGCTGGCCTGAGGCTCCTGCTGCCTGAGTGGGGGAGGGTGGCCCCCCAGGCTGAGATCTGGCAGGCCCTGGTAAGATGCCTATTCCAAAGTAGGTCTCTCTCCCAAATGCATCCTTTGCCCCCTCTTGGGTCTCTCTGACCCCCCTGCCCAGCCTGGGGATGGCGAGCTCCCTCTCTCCATTCTTAAGACTGTTCTGCAACAGTGTTCTTTCCACACAGGGTCACACCTGACTCCAGGGACCCCTCAGTGCTGGCCCCCGAACCCCTGTGGCCTGGGCCCCCACAGGTGTGTGGGGTCCCGCTCAGCAAGGTGGGGGGTCCATGCCCTGAGCCTCATGCCCTGTGCCTCAGAGGACAGGTGCCCCAAGCCCCTCGCTGGTCCCCTTCCAGGGACATGCCCAGCTGTCCCTGCTGGCTCAGAGTGTAGGGAGTCGGCCCCCCAGCAGGCCCATGGGCCCGGAAACAGCCCAGCTGCCTGACACCAGCCCTGTGCTGTGAGGATGCTGCTGCCCCTGCCCTGCTGGTCTCCCAGGAGGGGGTGGGGAAGAGTTAGCAGTACTGAGTGTGCGCCCAGGTTCCTGTGGAGCAGAGCTCCCACCCGCACCCCATACTCGCCCACGCACACACCAGCACACACACGCACCCACCCACTCTGATCATTTGCCGAGCACTCCAGGGCCCCTGTTGCGGTCCTTTGCCCTGGGCTGCATGGCTGCCCTTGCCAAGCGAGGAGCCGGGCAGCAGGCGAGGGCTGCGGGGGCCCCACCATTGAGGACAAAGCCTTCTTGCCCCTGCTGCCTGCCCAGCCCAGGTGGTCTAGACACCCACTCCTACAGTGACCACGCCCCAGTCCTGCTGCCCTGAAGGTGTCCTGGTCATGTGGCCTCAGCTCATTGCTACCCACTGCCCATGGGGGCGGGAGACAGACCAGGCTGCCAGTGTGGGCCGGGTTCCTTGACCAGATCTGTTGGACAGCCTCATGCCATCCCCACAAGCCAAGTGTCCTTGGCTGCCCAGCCTGGGGTCCTCGTGCTGCAGGACCTGCTGACCTCTGACCTCGGCCTGCAACCTGCTCTCAGGCTGGCCTCCCAGCCCAGGTGTCCTCTCTTCCTATGGCACCTTTATTCTTGGCATGGGGCAGGGCTTCCCAAGCTGCCCAGCCTGGGTGGGCCCCCCACCCTGTCCTGTCTGGGGCAGGCACCTCATCCGTGAGCTCACTGACCCAACAGGCATTGGGCAGGTGTTCAGGGATTCAGGGAAAGGGTGAAGGAGTCAAGCTACCCCCCACCCTTTCTAGTCAGGAGACATATGGCAGTTGCTCACCGGAGCCTCAACCTTCCATCTGTAAAGTGGGTGACAATGCCAGGGCCTGGGTGTCCAGTGAGGCTGCAGTGCCCACCTGGTCTGGCCCGAGGATTCTCTCAGCTCATCCTGCTGGCAGCCCCTCCTCAGTGTCACCGCTGGGATGTGAGAGGAGGGAGGTGCCCCCTGGGCTCCCCAGGAGAGGGGCTCTGGCTGCTACCCCGCTCTGTCTACCTTCTCTGCCTCCAAGGCCAAGTCAGCACGGGTCCCAGGGGTGGGTCCTACTGCAGCTGCACAGGCCCTGGTGAGATGTGGGGGCAGCTGGCGGGGGCGGATCTGGGCCCAGGCAGCTCGGAGGACACCTGGAATCTCTGCTGCACCCCCCCACCCACTGCCCCACTGCCCCTGTCTGCCATCCCTGCTGAGGGGCCACCTGCAGTGGAATGGGGGACAGGTGAGGCAGACCAGAGTTGGGGCTGAGGGCCCCAGACCCCTCCCGAGAGCAGGGGGTGTCCCGCAGGGTCTGCAGGGTCTGCTGAGTCTGG